GCAATTGAAACAAATTTTATCTCCAATTGTAACATGCAAGGTACAATGTAGTGAAGTGTATGTTTAAAGCTGTTCCAAGAATGTGTCATTTAGACTTGACATGAATTAAACTTGATGTGGCCTATATATATGCCTTCAAAGGCATCCACACTACATGGAATCCAACAAGCTGAATTTAGCTCCATGGAATTCACGCAGTAGGGATTTGGAAAGAAAATGGTCAGATCTTAAACAGTTTCTCCCTTCATTTCCGGTACCAAGCTTCAAATCCATGATACCAACCCATTATTGGGACTGTTTGGCAGCATATAATTGAGTCTTTAGATACAGTATCATAAATGAAGTTCAAAATTAAATACAGTGTAAGATCTAAGAAGGGGCAAAGATATCAATTACTTTGAACGGCATTACTTAATTTTAACCGGCTAAACTCATTTATAGCACTCAGATAAACCAATTTATATCAACTACTTAACTGCGAACAATTGATACTAGTCAGAAATAAAAATCATTAAAATTACCACAAAATCAATTTAGAAATTTACTTACAATTAAAGCTAAAAAGCCTAATCTAATCGAACTAAAACCAAGTTTATCAAACATAATCATCATTAGCATCATTGTATTACCGATTATATACGTGCATATGTAAAAAATTAGCTGACATGCAAAATTACACAGCTCATCATAGAACATGACAGTAGTATTAATAAATTAACGAAGTAAAATTAAACCGGGTAAATATCAAAATTGTTGGAGAAATTAATCGAACCATGGAGAAAATCTTACCAGGTAGGAACGAAGTTTGTGGACTCCGAACAGATACGATGGCATTCATCCTTCAATTTCAACTCTGCTTGCGTGTGCCGGTGTGCGTGTGCGTGTGAGAAAGAGTGAAAATTGATGGAGGATATCATTAGATTGACAAAGTTTCAGACAGATGGAAAGAATAAAGATTGGGCTGATGCATTTGGGCTTGATTTGTAGGCCCGTAATTGTCGTTTTATTGCGTTGTGTGTCTAATTAATTAAATGGAAAATTTCATATCTAAAATATTATGTATAACTTATTTCAAAACTAAGAAATAAAGTTTAAAATTTCAAAAATCAGATATTAAATATATTAAAGTCATAATTCTATACTATTTGATCACAAATTAACGAATTAATTGATCACAAATTTTTCCTCGGTCATATATCAAAAATTTTTATAAGTCACAAATAATTTCACGATCTTAATTCAAAAATCTTATAGGTCACAATTTATTTATTGATCACAAATTACAAAATTAATAAGTCACAATTTATTTATCAGTCACAAATCTCAAATTTTATAAGTATCAACTCAAATATTTAGGTCACATATTATTAATTGATCACAAATTATTGAATTAGTTGGTCAAAACTTACCAAATTCTGAGTCACGATTCCAAATTTATTCACAATCACAAACTCTTTTAGGACATAAGTTATTTATTGGTTATAACACCTAAATAATTAATTACAAATACTCTTCATCGCAACCTATCAACACCGCGATGCAACAACCACGACCACAATAACACAAACACCACTACGTGGCACCACCACAACCACTGCTACTATCACTATCACCGCCACCAATACTGCCACCAGTACCACCACCAACTCAGTCATCATCACCGTAAGCACAATCACCATCATTCGAAATCCACTACCAACCAGCAATCACAAAAATCACCTCAAAACCATCGCCACAACAATGGAGCAACCGCCTAAACCACAAAAAAATCCGACCATGTCAAAAGAACCCACCTTCCTGCCGTGCAATGTTGAAATTGCTACCTACCTTCTTGCAAGTGGCGATGTCAGGTCTCCATCTACCCTCCTAGGCAGAGGTTGCGACTGTGCTCTTCTTTTTGACATCGCCAGTCTCTTGCAGTGGCAGAGCTCCTCTTTTGACAATTCTCTTCTTTCGATGGCACTGCAGAGCTCGCGTCGGCAGCGATGTTGGTCCTCTCCTTGGAGCGTCGACGTTGGTCTCTTGTAGCTGTGTCGATCTCGCAGTTGGCTCTTGCAGCAAAGCTGATTCTCTCCCCACAGTGTCCAACATCACCGGTGGAAGGATAGAGAAAAGATTGAATAGGTGAACCAAATAGAGCTTCATCATAGGGTATTCGGTGATAAAGGATTTGGCGACCACATGAGGCCCAAACTAA